TCACTGTAAATTATACAATGACTTTTTCTTTTTTTTCACTTCCAAAAACCGTATTTTTAACAGTATTTTACTGTAAAATTACATTAAATGTAATTACATTTATTCACCGAATATAGTATGGAAACTTACCGTTAACCAGTTAACAGGTTTTTACTGTAGCATTTTCACAGTCTTTTATTGTTAAAATCACAATAATTTTTTACAGTGTGGACAATAGGGGGGTGGGTATTGATACAGATATCGATATTTATTACTTTTAAAAGCATGCACTTGAACTTACATGTACTTTCCTGCAGGGGAGAGCAGTGTGTCATTATGAGTGCTATGCTATTAATATTAAATAATATAATATATTAATATGCTAAATGTGAAGACATTTTCACGATCACTAAAAGATTGAGTGATTTGTGCTCTCGACATGTCTGTAAATAGTCGTGTGTGGTTACTGTAGTAAAACCAGTGTTGATTTTATGAAGGGCTGCCAGTGACGGGCTGCTGTACCCCTCAAGGTAACTTTTGCACCTTTCTTCCCCTGACAGATTTATTAGCAACAATTTCAGAACATAACACAGTCTGTCTGATTTTTAATGATCAATTTAAATAGCTATATTCAATTGCACAAACTAGCCTAATTATAATAAATGTTACATGTGCACTGCTGCTCGAAAGTTTGAGGTTTTTAATGTTTTTGAAAGAAGTCTCTTCTGCTCACTAAGGCTGAATTTAGTTAAAAATATACATTTTTACATTTCAATTTCAATTTGTTTATATGGGGGTGATGAATGAAATGCGTTCACATGAGCAGGACAAAATAGTATCCTACACAATTATTCACTAGCATAGCGTAGCTTTCCACTTTGACGCTTATTTTAGGCTTGAAACACTTTTGGACGGATATTTTTATGTGAGGATAGATCAGGATCATGTTCCTAGTCACCCTGGTGTTCTAAAATACACAAACATGAATGGGAACATATACTTCAGAGAGACTTTATTCATAATTTCTAGGGGTGCTAATAATTGTGTTCCACAGTGTGTTGGAGAAAACCATTTATTTCATAATGAGAATTTCCCCCCACAACACAACTATTAAATTATTTTACTTCAAAGAAATGTTAGATTTTTTCATTTTTGGAATGAAGGATCAAAAGAATAAACGAAGCACATTTATTTTCACAGGCTTCTTTGCTCATATTTTCCAAGGAAGCCAGTATTGTGAGGTGAATTTCACTTCTTGTAACTGTGTGGAAGACGAAGTGTTTATCATCAACTGTCCCGTTTGAGTTTGAGTTGGTCAATAGAAAACAGGCTGGAGTTTGGCTGGATTGCAGCGTCTTGCATCATCTGTAGGTTACCGGTGGAAGAAAGCTCACCTTTCCACTGGATCCGTGAGAGACGAGCTCAAACAATGCAATCACTGTCAATCATAAACTGTAATAAACTTTTATTTATGTACATCATAATATACAAACATTTGTACATAAAAATCCCAATTCACCAAAAAAGTAAGGCTAAAATATTTAAAAATATCTAAAAAAAAAAAAAAACAAACATCTAGCATGTGAAGCCAGAAAAGTGACATTTGGTCACTCAAAAAATTGCATATGAATAGAAATTATTACAAATCTAAGTAACTAAAACATCAGAATTCTCTGACATTCTATAAAAATGTACTCTTTGGTTCAATACATTTTTTTTCTTCTAAAATTGCACACAGAACAGTGATACAGTAGAAACTTGAGCATTAACGTCACACACAGCGTGTGTCCTGATATGTGATTCAGTACCGAGACAAACATGCATGCGGTGGTTACAGGACAGCGCTGAGGCCAGAACTAGCTAACAGAGCCCGGTTCAACAACTAAAAACAAGCCAATCGACAGCATTAGCACCAAACCAAGTGTTCAGAGAAACACTGAGGCCTCTAAAAGTAGCACACTATACTAGTCACTGCAGCTTAGAGACCTAAGAGAGAAAAGGCGACAGAGAGCAGGACTAAAGGACTGCTTTGCATAATTAGTGCTGTGTGAATGTAATGCTTTCCTGAGCTACTAAAGCACTGGAGTGCAGGCAGACACGAGGCAGAGGCACTTCTGATGCGCTCAGAAGCAGCGATGGTGAAAGAGCGCAGAACACACGGTGTACTGTTAAAGCTTGATGAGGAGTAAAAAACCTCTTTACAAAACACTAAAATAAATAAAAAAGACATCAGAGACGTGGAGGTCGGGTTCTGGCGTTTGGTACAGCAGAGCGATGACTGCACACTCTCACAACTGTAGCTGCCACGAGATTATCGGTAATAAAAAGGATCAACTACCTAAAGAAAAAACGGTGTCTTTAAATTCACAATCTCTGTCCTTTGGTTAGTGAATAATGGCTGGAGGATTCGGTCATTATAAAGGCCGCACAAGTGTTATTCAGTACCGTCTGAATGCTAACAACACACAGCTGTTTGGATGACTGTAAACAGAGTTAAAAGACATTTACACTGCGAGTGGAGATCTGAGTCTATGATACGAGGAAGGCGATCCGGTGAGAAGAGCTGCTTGTTCAGGCTGTGTTTGGAGAGCGTGAGGAGCCGGATGGGTGCCGCCGCATCAGGGCTGCTGCTGGTACTGGGACGCCGCGGGCTGTAGTTTGGTGACCTGGCCGATGCCTTTGGTTGCTCCCTCTCTGAAGAGCAGCTTGGCGCCCACCTTCAGGTACTCCGGGTGTTTGATGAACTTGAACCGGACCCCTGCTTTCTCACCGGTGCGCAGCTCATCCTGAAGGAGAACGATTCAAGGAAAAGTTCACTGATACACACACATCCAGGGAAAGCCGACGGACCGCTAAGAGTCTTTTATTGATACACACATACAGACTGATCTTTGTTTATGTCTAGGGGTGGGTGATATGACCCAAACCGCAATAGGAGTCATTTTATTTCACGATATATAATCATGGTATAGTCATTTTTGCTGGAAATAAGGTTGTTATAATGCCAGCATTTTAAATGGCAGGCCTAACTAACTTAACTAAAGACAAGTAAACTGTCAGAAATAAACATTTATTCGTATTATAAAACGGTTAGTTCCAGTCCTGGATTCTGATTGGTCAACAGCTGTGAGTTATTCACGATAAAGCACCGCTTTGACCGCTTCACTCAGTGGCTCTGTGTGTGTATCACTGCGCAACACCCTCAACAACATAAACAAACAATGATATAGTGTCAAAACTGTTCCTTTCAACAAAGTTAACTGGTTATTATTTATGGAATGAATTACGAGTGGCCACATCCTTCCCCCGTCAAAGAAACTCTTCTCATGCGGGAGACACGTTGATGCGTGGTGATGCTTGGCACTCTTTTTTTTTTTCATTTTTCCCTTTCACATATTTTAGTAATCACCATAAATCAGATATAATTTAAAACCTTATAAACTCAAAATTCAACCATTCTGAAATCCGACATTGCGTTAATATCTTGACAAAATGCATATCGTTGGGAAGGTCTGAATGCATAAATTTGCGACAGGAAAATGCATAAAAAAATTCAAAGGAGCTTGGGTGTCACCTGGAGGCTATTTTTGGTATAACACCTAAATAAAATCTCACAGAAACCTTTTTTTTTAATATATCAACTTCAAATTTGGAACATAACTTATATAGACATATGGCTTTAATTTTACATCAATTTTGGATTAAAATATTTTGTAAAATTTATTTTATATAAAAAAAAATTTAATTGTACAGTACATGTATACATGTACAAGCCCAGAGTTTTCAGGTTGGGGGCATATGAGTGATAAAACGTGTCTGACCCAACAGAAAATAGTATTACACAATGATACAGTGATAGTATTATACAATTACAATACAATATTTAGACCTAATGGTTCAATTAACAGCATAAACTGCTGTAATATACTTAAATTAGTCATTTTGTCAATGTGGAGTTGAAAAACCTTGTTGAATTTGTTGTAGAAAAGGTCCGACCAAATGACATGAACGCACTGGATGTCATAATTACGACTACCAAACTCATTATATGAACTTCTCAAGAGGACTGTAATCAACACATCCAAATTCCTCTCAGCTGTTTATGTTCACTTCGGACATAACTGACTATGTTTATGTGCAATAAACTGCCTTTCAGTGTGCAGTAACGGTTAGGGCTGGGTAAAAAATATTGATATCTCGATTTTAATCGATTTTCATTACGAAACGATATCGATTCTTAAATCCCAAGAATCGATTAGTATATATCAACTTCAAATTTGGAACATAACTTATATAGACATATGGCTTTAATTTTACATCAATTTTGGATTAAAATATTTTGTAAAATTTATTTTATATAAAAAAAAATTTAATTGTACAGTACATGTATACATGTACAAGCCCAGAGTTTTCAGGTTGGGGGCATATGAGTGATAAAACGTGTCTGACCCAACAGAAAATAGTATTACACAATGATACAGTGATAGTATTATACAATTACAATACAATATTTAGACCTAATGGTTCAATTAACAGCATAAACTGCTGTAATATACTTAAATTAGTCATTTTGTCAATGTGGAGTTGAAAAACCTTGTTGAATTTGTTGTAGAAAAGGTCCGACCAAATGACATGAACGCACTGGATGTCATAATTACGACTACCAAACTCATTATATGAACTTCTCAAGAGGACTGTAATCAACACATCCAAATTCCTCTCAGCTGTTTATGTTCACTTCGGACATAACTGACTATGTTTATGTGCAATAAACTGCCTTTCAGTGTGCAGTAACGGTTAGGGCTGGGTAAAAAATATTGATATCTCGATTTTAATCGATTTTCATTACGAAACGATATCGATTCTTAAATCCCAAGAATCGATTAGTCTAGCCTGTTTTCAGTTAATGGACTGAACATTGAAGGGCACTTCCCATCCAACATATCGCAATAAGCATTGTGCTTTGGTAATTGAAACAAAGTCTCAGATTTTTAATTCTGTCCATTGTATTGCAGTATTCAAACAATAAATGCCGTTTTGGTGCTGTTTAATGTGGAGTGACAGATCGCTGTAGCACATCAGTTCAACAGACGCAGCAGTGCGAGGCGCACGTGAACTGATCAGATCTCCTCCACATTAACACAATTTTGCTAAATATATGCACCATATAACATTCATTATAATTTTTTTACTGTTCTTCAATGTTTTATTTATGTTTGAATAAATCCGTTCAAGTTTTTATGACAGCCACTATTTAAATGTGTATATTAAAAATAAAAAATAAAAACCTAACTGAAGTAATTGCAACTTAATTATTATAAAAACTTCATTAAGTGCTATTTAAGCAGTTGAACAGCACAAATCAGTAAATTTTAACCTTCAATATTATAGTAATGTAGTACCAACTGACTCTCATGTATATTTTACAGCATTAGTTGAGAGATTTTTTTTCCTTGAGAAAATTTGGCATGTGCTGTACCTGATATATATCCTAAATAATCGATATTGAATCGCAAGCTTGTGAATGAGAATCGAATCGAATCGTGAAATTTGTGTCAAAACCCAGCCCTAGTAACGGTCCATACGCAAGTTAGCTAATGCCTAACTAACTATTCCTTGATATGAGACCCCAGCATGTCTGAAAGATAGATAATTGTTTATCTGTAAAGACAAACAAATTAAATAAAAATTAAAGATAAAGTCTAGCAGGACAGACCAACAGACAGACAGCTAATGAGCTGTTTATCTATCTAGCTAGATATACACAGAAAAAAAATCACACAAACGTCAAGCGATTACAGACTAACAGACCGACAAATAGACAGACATAGTTAACCATATGTGACCCTGGAGCACAAAAGCAGTCTTAAGTCGCTGGGGTATATTTGTAGCAATTGCCAAAAATACATTGTATGGGTCAAAATTATAGATTTTTCTTTTATGCCAAAAATCATTAGGATATTAAGTAAAGATCATGTTCCATGAAGATATTTTGTAAATTTCCTACCGTAAATATATCAAAACTTAATTTTTGATTAGTAATATGGGTCCGTGTACTTTTGCGCCCATTCGTTTTTCGTTTTTTAACCCAGAAATGAAATACGGAAAATACGTTTTTTTCTTTAATGGTTCAAACACTGATGAATAGAATAAGCAGACACAAACTAATTTTCATTATTCAAAATTCGTATTTCATTAAAAATCGTAAAAATGATATAAAGCTTGTTTTTTAAATGTATATAAATGCTAAATTTAATTTCTACCTTTTCTAGCGTCTCTATACAGACGCTAGCGCCCTCTCGTGCTACTGACGTGGCTACCATAACTGCTTTATGAAAACTTTTAGCTTCGATATTTTTATGATCTTAAAGTGCCCCTATTGTGCCATTTCTGAGCATGTTGGTATTCTTGTGGGGAAAAAAACCCACATGCAAGTCCTGTCACCGACAGCCAGTTTAGTTTCACTTCTTTTTGTTTTCGTTTTAAAAAGCTTGTTATCTTTGCTGTTTACTTTGCTTTGAGGCTTTCTTCATTTTTTTTATTTATTTGATTCCTCACTGTTTGCTTAACATTCTGTAATTTATTAGTCGGTGTGGGCAAATCTAACAAATACAAATCTAATAGCATGTGGAGCCATGCCTCATCTTATTCGTTTTTGGTAATAAACGTTATGTAAGCTAGTTTGTCATTATATCCTACTGTTTTATTGTTGTTGTGCTTTTTAATTAAGAATAACAATGAATCAATCTTTTGTTTTAGTCTTAAAAAGTGAAAAGTGTATAGATAAGCAAAACAGACAATGATCTTTTCTTGTAAAACGTGACACCAAGATAGTGAATTCGAAAGCGAAAGTGAAAGCGTCCAAAGTCCGGCTTATAACACAGCAAAAGAGGAACTCCTGTTCACAAAATTTAAATCACAAATAATACTGATGAAAAAGAACGGGTTGAATGTTGAACACTTGTTACCATATAACTATAAACTATGATAAAAATTCATCAGCATGCATTGATTAAAGGGGTCATATGATGCGAAAAAAAAAAAAAAAAAAAAAACTGCGACCAAATGATGTGCTCGTGCGACCAACTGAGAATGTCGCAAAAGAGCGACCAGTGGGAAGAATGAGTCTACAGCCCTGTATAGCCTAAATGCGGCATTATGCGGATGCCACTATCAGTGAACAGGGCAAAAATATGTCAAAATGTATAAGGCATGTGTAGCCTACACAATGTAGCCCACTGTATGTGCATTGAGCGACCATGCATGGTCATCTCCAATAACGTACCCATACAGCACACAAAAGTTACGACAAAATTATATCCCAATATATAATTTCATGATGATAGATTTCCCAGGATTCTGCAATGTCTATTTTAAAAATCATATTTGTATTAAGTCTCTGCATTGTTCCAAAGACGGCTCTAGTTCTCAACTGAACGTGCGGGAGAAGCATCACTAAATTTGGCCAAAGAAAACTTGTTCAAATCAACATTTTTCTATATTAATTGTGCATTTTTCAAATGTTTATTAAAAGTGCAAAAATTAATTAACAAAAATCTGAAAAGAAGTCAATATTTAACTTTTTCAGGCAGCATTTTGTGTGTACGGTTGTAATTTCAATTTTGGTTTTCAGCATGGCATTTATAAATACAATAACCGTTCTTTTTTCGTTTTTTCCGTCATGGTTAAAAAACGAAAAACGAATGGAAGCAAAAGTACACGGACCAATATGCATTGCTAAGAACTTCATTTGGACAACTTTAAAGACGATTTTCTCAATATTTAGATTTTTTTGCACCCTCAGATTCCAGATTTTCAAATAGTTGTATCTCGACCAAATATTGTCCTATCCTAACAAACCATACATCAATGGAAAGATTATTTATTCAGCTTTCAGATGATGTATACATCTCAATTTCGAAAAATTGACCCTTATGACTGGTTTTGTGCTCCAGGGTCACATTTATCTAGCCATCTATTGGTGCAACGGATCACAAAACTCACGGTTCGGACCACATTACGGATTTTGTGTCACGGAACGGATAATTTTTCGGATCAGCAAAAAAAATTAAAAGTTTGCTTTTGATTTATTACTGAAAGCTTACTTTACGTGCTTCTATACCACAGGAAAAACTACTAGCTGAACTAATAAAGTCAGTAATAAAACAAGGACAATTACACAAATTACAAGCGTAGATGAATACAACATAAAGTTACTAATAAAGTCAGTAACACTAGTATTCAGGTGCAGAAATTTAATAATTGTAAAATAACATAATAGTGCTCTTCACTGCATAAGTTAAATATAGCAGACAGAAGCAGGTATTTATAGGCTGCTGTCTCTTTAAGACCAAATGCACGTACCTAATATACTGACACACATCCGCTTTCTGTCTCAGCTGTTTTGGTTCACTTAAGACATAACCGACTGTGTTTACCAGAATACTTGCCAAAACGGGTATTTTAATATAACTTTGTGTGTATGTTTCCGTTCAAAGAGAGTGAAAGAGGAATCATTCTGTGTGAATCGCGCCTCTCTCTCTGTGTGTGCTTGCTTCGGATGTGTGCAGCAGCGGTAGAAAACAGTGCGCGTCTTCTCTTTTGCTTGAATGGTTTAAAATAGTTTGAATGGGTAAATTGGCAAGACAAAACACATGCAAGCGATAAACTTTAACTCTATGATGGTTAAATTTAACAGTTAATCCTCAAATCGCATGCGTGCCGAACTGTGGGGTCCGGTCCGTACAGATCACGGATCATCTACGATCCGTTGCACCCCTACCTCTATCAGTTCAGACAGATAAAGAAGACTCACCTTTCCCTGCAGAGCCTCAACTGTGGCCGTCTGTCTAACGTTGCCCACGTGCACCGTCACCTGGAAGCCCTTGTGGAAAGTTTTGGCATGGAAGAGTAAAACGATCTCAGCCTCAAAGCGCCAGCAGATAGTGGGGTTCATCTCTGGACTGACCATCACCATGCCCTGCCAGAAAACAACGGCCTGCTTTACACTAACAACATGCTAGTCATTTGCTGTCTGAACCATTAACAATGATCCTAGTATAACAACTCAGATTCAGTTTGAAGGAATTTCACTTCATTGGCCTCTACATTGTAGGTCTTCTGCGTTCTCACCTTTCGTAATAGTGAGCGGTCGAAATCTCCCAGCGCCAGAGTAGCGGCCTGACCGGCTCTCAGCACCCTGCACCCGGAGCGATTCCTCTGGATACTGCACACCGCCAGCTCCCGAAACTGCCCAGCGTCTGTGGGTCCCACCACCAGCTGCTCGCCCTCGCGGCAGATCCCACTGCACATCGAAAAACAGTCATTACACACTAATGCCGTCTTATTGCACGCCACAGACAAGAGGGAAGAGAGGAGGACGCACCTGTACAGAGTCCCACCAACTACTGTCCCCACATCCGGCACCGTGTAGATCTCATCAATCTACAGGATCACAACACACACAAACTCATGCACGAGACAGACACTGAAAACAACAACAGCCACAAAAACCTGGGTTATTTTTTTCAAACTAAACGCTGGTTTGAGACTTTATTTGGTAAGGCCGCTGGGTTGATTTAACCCAATTTGGATTGATAATCATTTATAATCAGCAACCCTACAGCGCTAAAAATGTTAACATAAAATAGTAAGTTCTAACCATTATCTGAGTGCAGAAAATATTTTGCTTTAAGGGATGCACATTATTATAAGAACGTCATCGGAATTGACCGTTAAAAGCTTGAAATGCAAACATCGCTATCAGCCCGATATGAAAAATTATGCTAATATGCCTTGCCGATAAGACAAATAAAGAGATAAGATCGTGGTCATTCCTGAATCAAACATTTGCCAGTATGGTGATTAGATTCACTGTTTTGGATCACCACATAATACAAATTAAATATATACACAAAAAAATTTTGGGGGTTACAGCAGTTTTATTACATTTTCAAAGCTTTCAATGCACTCTCATTATAAAAAGAACTTTAATAATGTGTATTTAGTTCTAACGAGTATGTTTTCACACAAAACTAACCAAAATTAAAAATCATGTTTATAATCTCTGCACCGGAGAGACTTTGTGTTGTTTCCAAACAAAAGGAAATATTTATTGGTATCAGCAAGGGCTAAAATGAGTTGAAAAATATCGGCAAAAATCCAATATCTTTGCCTATCCGTGTTTGTGGCATTCATGACAGGAATGTGTTTGGAAGAATAGATTAAAACTACTCGAAGTGGAGAGAACTGTTAACCTGCCTGCATTGAATAAACCCCTTTTAAAGAGCTCTTTTAATACAAAGTTTATTCCTGAATTTATATCACAGTTTTTCAAGTCTGTGCGTTTCCTGACAGCACTCAAAGCCTAAAAAATATATAGGCCTATAACAAAATAACTGGTCAAATTTGCTTTTAAACGTAAGTTATTCACTATTTAAACAACAATGTTTAGTGAACTTTTAAAAAGCAACTTCGTTTAACTGTAGAACTATTGATTTGCTATTCTTCTCTGCCCTTTTTCCTCACTCACATACATGCCAACCCTTTAAGAACAATTCAAGATCTTCAATGAGGACATCTAAGCGTACACCTGTACCTGAAACTCGGTGAGCTGCTGCATGAGCTCCTCCTGCTCCTTGCTGTTGCTGAGGGGAGGCAGAATATTAAAGAAGACCTTCAGCAAATCCAGACTCTCCCCTGATACACTGGACAGGGTGAAGATGGGGGTGATGCTGCAGGAGAGCAAGCGAGACAACAGATTCCCATGAAGCAGTTTAAAGGCAAATCATCACAGCTGTGTCTTCTTTATCTGGTTGGGCTGTACCTGGGTGACTGTGCAAACTTCTGGGCGGCAGTGACGGCGTCGTCTGTGGAGGACACCAGCATGGGCACCTTGTTGCAGCCCGGCTGCTTGAGGATGCGCTCCAGCTGTCGGACGGTGCGCTCCACGGTGCCTTTGGTGCACAGGTCCACTTTACTCACCACAATGAAGATGGGCACCTTCAGCGCCATGGCCAGACCCAGGTGCTCTCGCGTCGTCCCCGCTGAGAGAAGAGCAAGACAGTGTGCATCTTACATGGAGAAATGTGGCGTTTAACAGGTAGCGAATCGTTTGTGTGGATACCAAAAAAGCTTCAGAGAACAAGGAGCCAGGTAATAGAGTTGTAAACTCTGATCTGGTCAGTATTGCAAGTTTACAAACTTTAATCTCAGCCTCAGATGGTTCACCGACTGACTGTCCGAAACAAATTAGACACAAAAAAGCTGGCAAAAACTGGTGAAAAATAACATCCTGGGATCAAAATGTACACTTTTTAAATGAAAGAAAAAAACTTGTGATGCACGTTATTGGATTTTTGCCGATATGCCGATATTTTTCAACTCATTTTGGCCGATACCGATATATTTCCTTTTGTTTGGAAACAACACCAAGTGTAGCAAATTATCATTATTATTTTTTTAAAAGAACTTATTTTTTAAATTCTTAAAAATAACTTATTTGTTAGAATTAAATAAACAATAATGAAGTTTTTCATATCGGGCCGGTGCCGATATGTATATTTAAAGCCATTATCGGCTGATTCCGATATCTGTCTTGATAATATCGTGCATCCCTAAAAAAAAACTTTTTACCAGTCTGTTTTGCCAGGTTTGTAGCATGAATTCTTTAAAGATACTCTGTTAAAATAAATAAAGAAAACTATTTTTGAGACGATAATAGCAAGTAAGCTAGATATCCACAAATAGAACAGTATAGTCCACTCAAAATGTCTATGATAACAACGATAACAACTTTTTGTTGTGTGATATATTGCCCCAGAAATAACTGCGATAAGTGATATTATTGTCATTTTAAAGACCATTTTATGCCACTGAATATATGAAGAGTTCATTTACAAAAACCGATAACTCCATTTTTATTTTTTTTCCAGAAATCACGTTTTTTTAATTGCTAAGTAATATCAGTCAAACTGCAGTTGGGTTGTTTTGATTAAGTAATAATAACTTAAACAAATAGGTGATTTACAAAATTAAAGTTCACTGAAAGTATGTTTTTTTTCATATTAAAAGTTTGTTTTATAGCAAAAGCAGATAACTCCACATTTCATGTTTTAGAGTT